TGGAAAAAATGGGGTTTTGTCCTAAAATGTCTTCAATAATTATATTGTATAAATAATGAAATTGGTATTAGAAATATGAAATTGGATGGATGTTTATATAAATAGTGGGATTAGATATGTATTATCTTGCACCTACGAAAATTTGGACAATTTATCTGTTATAAATATTGTATATCTGTTTAGAAATATCTATTTTGGGCTATCAATGGAGGATAGCCAGAATTGTTATAGAAATTGCATGTGGATTAGGCAAATTGAAACAATCTCTTAGCTATTATCATTGAATATGATTATGATTTATATACATTGTACATGTATGATGTTTAGGAGGAGAAATAAGATGTACTCCATATTTTGGAGGAGAAAGGTAATGGACTCCATTAAACTAAGTTGGCCTGTGTGTCCAGGGTGAAAGTCCCGAAAACCACGCGTATACATGAGTGTCAATTCCCGCGAACAAAATTTCTGTAAAATGGCAAGTTAATGTATTTTGTATAATAAATATGTTGGTTGGAGGCCTATGGGGTGTATCCTCTGTTTGGTTGACTAAATGAAGTGGGTAAAACTAATGGATTAAGATGTAAGTTTGACATAACATAGTTTTCGAAAAAGGTGTAAAAGATCTATCATTTGGAAATTGAATATGTGTATCATACTTATATCTTTGTTAATATTCATATATTGTGTTAGATTGTTTTTACTGGGCTTTGGCTCACCCTACTTGGGAAACTATTTTTAGGTGCTAGTGACATGCCTCCTCCATGGATTTAGCTCGGGAGGACCTAGGAGCTGAAGGCTCTGTTTTGTCATTTTATATTTAATATTTGTACAAGCCTAGGGCTTTATATGTGTGGAGCTTAAGACTCTTTCTTTTATTGTAACCAAGCATAGTCTTGAAAAGATGTAAGCCTGTAGGGCATTTTATTTTGTTGATCATTAAGCTGGTATCACATGCTATAGATCCATGGTAGAGCTTATGAATGTATATTGCATGTGTCACTTTTTGTAAATTAACTTTGATTAATGAAAGATTACTACTTTGTTTATGTCATTGCGTGTATGTTGTTGGGGGCCGATTTATGGCATTTATTTCAGGGCGTTACACTATATAAGCTAATGATTCGTTATAAACGTTCTTTATGATATCGATCTTTGATGATTATTTTGCATAGCTCATTGATTTGTTATAAAAGTTCTGTATGATGTCGGTCTTGATGATCGTTCTGTGTGGCTTCGATTGTATATAATCATTATGTATGGCTCTGTACCTTTATGGACGTTCTACATGTTTTCGACCCGTTATAGACGTTCTATATGTTATTGACCCATTATAGACATTCTGTATGATATCTAATTGTGATAAACGTTCCATATGAGCTTGTTCCAATGTAAACGTTTTGTATGAGCCGTTTTAATGTAGACGTTTTGTATGAGCTCGACCAAAGTGGACGTTCTATATAAGCTTAACCATTGAGGTTTTCATCCATATGCTTTTGTTCCATTGTGAATGTTCTATATGGTCTTGATATAATAGATTGTTTTGTCAAATATTAATAATGATTTTGGAATTGTACCTCGTGATGTGTTAAACTATGAAAGGTTTGTTAAAGTTTTGATTCACTTTATATATTTTCTGTATTCGAGAAATGTTATCATTTTGTCAAGAACAATATATTGTTTTTTTACAAGTCATGGAACTCATTCATTTAATCTCTTTACATTCAGATTACTCATTGGGCTTCTAGCTTACTCCCTTGTATATATATACGTGGGAGAGCATCGGGAGAACCCACATGAGAGATTGCTTTGGAGTCAACCCTTTTGTAAAGCCATCTGAAATATGCCTCTGCATCTAAGCCTTAGCATTTGTTTTGGCCAAGCTTTGTAAAGCTTTGGTTTTGTCAAGATCATTTTGTTTCTGTATGATCTTGGGTCATATATTTAAGATGAATGTTTGTAAATATGTGAAAATGTGTTTTGTTCATTTTTGTTCATGTTATATAAGCACAGCTCAATGGACAACATTATTCTGTTTTGCTTCCGCTTCAGGCCCGTATATTTAATTATATTTTGAAATTTCTGTCTGAGGTCGTAGGCAATCTCATGATTACTGGCTGGTCATGATCCAAACCTCTAGGGACAGGTTTGGATCGCGATGATATCGATGTCGATGAACTCGTTTACTCACCTTAACGGCTCAATTCACCAAACCCATCACACCCATCACACCAAATGTTGAAATCTCTTTTGCCGCAATCACCATTATCGAAGATCGAGCAAGTCATGATCGGTTGTAACGACTTTGGGTTGTCGAATCAAAGCTCACATCCATTAATGGGGGTAATACAATGTTACAGTTATTGAAGACAATCAGACAATAGGCACAAATCGATTGTGTTGTTAGACACTGCAGACGAATTGTTGTTCAATGTGATTCACCATTTCAAATTGAAACAAGGTTACAGGGAGATGAAGATGAGTGTTGAAAATGTAGTGGTGAATCACTACAAGTTTTAGGTGTGGTCGGAGGAGTTTAATACAAAGTTTCGACAAACGTGGTGAATTGGATGCAAGAGATGAATCCAGGGTCTAAAGATAGGATGTTGGGATTCAAGTTTATGCCAGTGGAGCCAGAAGGGTGGTCGGAGAATTGAGAAACAATGAAGGAATTAGGTTTTTGTTTTTTCTAGAGATATGCACTGAGAATTATGGGTTGCGTTTGGTAGAGTTTTGTAAATATGATTTGAGAGTATGAGTTGTATTTTGAGTTTGTGAGTTGTGGAATTATGATTTGAGTGTAGAAAATTTGTTTGGTTATAGTTTTTGAATAAAGTGTTGAATTAAGTCTTGAATTGAGTGTGGAATTGAGTTTTGAAAGTTTGATTTGACATGTGAAGTAAGAAAATTTGTTTGGTTATGAGTTTTTGAAAGAGTTTTCAAAACTTAATTCAAATTGTTATAACTCATAACAAAACACACTACTTTCACATTATTGAAAATTCTGATCAATACTCATAATCAAACTATTTTTAAAATTCAATTAAAAAAATTTATTATTAACAGAAAATAACATTAATCAAATTTTTAATTGAAAATGCTACAAAGGAAATAATTTTTTTTCAAAATAAATATTCAAAAAATTTAAATCATAAATATTTAAATAATTTAAATAATCTAAAAAATTATTTCCTTTGTAAATTAAAATAAATATTCAAAAAAATTAAATCAATATTATTTAATTACATAAAAAACCTATGAAGGAAAAAAATTATAAATTCATTTTTTATGATTTCAACCTAAAAAATAAAAAATATAACTCACTGTCAACACTATTTATTATGATGTTTCTTAACTCATATTTCATTTATATTTACTTTTCTTTTTAAAAAAAATATATACAAAATCTTAAATCCGAACATTGGAGTTCACAAGATGACAGCTAACATTATTTCACATTCTTATATGTTAAATAAAAATTTAAGATTAAAATAATAAATCCTATTATATCATTGGATTTGCACCCAAATATTCTCACATTAGGCGCACTTAGGCCTCGTTTGGGAACCCTCATTTTTAGTCAAAAAGTCAAAAAGTTACTAAATTAGTCAAAAAGCCAACAATTCATACCAAAAAGAGGAGAGGCACGCATCGGAAGGGAGGAGAAGGAGCCATGGGAAGAGCGTCGCCATCATTCGCAGATGCCCAGAGGCGGAGAAGGCCACGAGAAATAAAACGGTTGGGACCAAATCCTCCTGACAAAAGATTAGATTAGATTAGATTTAGATAGATTTTGAGTGTCTCCAGTCGGTGGATAATATGGTATTTTCCTTTTTGACTATCCTATTCTATTCTCTATTTTTGAGAAATTTTATTTAACACGTTCTTTTGTGTCTGGCTATACATTTATGTCATGTTTGTTTGGGTGGATATGAATTTAGGATTAGATTAATAGTATAATTAAATTATTAATTCGATATTTGGTTAGATAATTAAAGTACGGACTAATTATTTAAACTTGACTATTAGTTAAGATAGGATACATAATCCAACGATTCGTAGTCCTAAGACTATTAGTCATGGGAATGCTAATCCAATCCGCCCAAACAAACATGGCCTTAATGAAATAAAACTTTAAGAACAATTTTCTCATAAAGTAAAATGATCATAACGACATTATTACACATATTACAAATTAAATTCAAATTTTTTTGTACATATCTTTAAAAAATTAATGGCTCCATTTGGTAAATCTCTTAAATTATAATTTCACTCATTGATTTGAGTGTGTTATTTGTTTTGAGTTTTTAAATCATAATTCTATACTCATTTCTTAAAACTCAATTCAAAACATAATCATTACTTTTCAAAACTCACAACCAAACGCATAATTTAAAACTCTTTTCAAAACTCAATTCAAATCAATATTTTAATTTTGTTAAGATTTTAAATATTTTAATATTTAAATATGTTACGATTTTTTTAATCTTTTAATTTTGAATATTTTAAATATTTTAATTTCAAAATATTACGATTTTAATTTTTTAAATTTTAAAATATTTTATAAAAATAAATTCAGACTCTAGTTTATAAAAATATTTTAAATATTTTAATTTTTTTTGTTATGTATTTGGTTACGATTTGAGTGTAAAGTTGTGAAAGTAGTATGGAGTTTCGAATTATGTGTTTGGTTATGAGTTTTAAAAATAATTTCTTAATTGAGTTTTTGTTATATGTTTGGTTACGATTTGAGTGTAGAGTTGTTTTTAAATTTAAAATATTAACATTTTAAATTATTTAAAATTTTGAATATTTAAATTATTTAAATTTTTACATTTAAATTTTTGATATTTATTTTAATTTTTTACTTATTAAATTTTTAGATTATTTAAATTATTTAAATATTTATGATTTAAATTTTTTGAATATTTATTTTGAAAAAAAATTATTTCCTTTGTAGCTTTTCATCCTTCTTCCT